CTCCCCCTCCCAGCCTCGCCCCCTCTTCCCCTTGCTCTCGCCCTCCAGCCACACTGGGCTTCTTGCTCTTTGCCTCCTTGGTCCTCGAGGCCTCAGTACCCGGGCTGTCCTGTGTCTGGAATGCTCTTTCCTCGATGTTTACAGGACCCGCTCCTTCTTATCATCTGAATCGCGACGGAAGCCCCATAAATCTTCTGCAAGGCTTCCCTGGCGCTTCCCTCACACGCCAAGTAACCATCTCCTTCTCAGTGTCCAGCCCACGGTGCCTTATTTCTGGTGCTTATCCCTCACTATTATTTTATCGCTAGGGCTTACATTCTCATTTACTTACCTGGTTAATATCCATATCTCCCACTAGATGGTAAATACCAGGAGAGCAGAAATGGTGTCTGACTTTTTCTCTGCTGGATCCCCACACCTAAGTGCTACCTCCCATAAAGCAAGCATTCAACAACTATTTGTTGAACCGATGAACTGATTTAGCCAAAGCCCCTCATTTTATAACTGGGAAAGCTAAGGCCCAGAGAAAGCAAATGGCACAGAATGCAATATACAGATAATGTACCATAGAACTGTACACCTGAAATCTATATAATTTTATTAACCAGTGTCACCCCAATAAATGTAATAAACAATAAAAGGAAAGTAAATGGCTTGCCTGAGGTCCTGCAACTAGGTAGCAGGTTCTCAGGTCAGTGCTTTTCCTGAGCACCCTATTTCATTCAGCCTCTTCTTTAAAGTCTTCTAGTATCTCACCCTTGGGTAATCATTGCTCTGAGCTTCTACAGCATTAGACTTTAACATTCATCTGGTTTTTATTCTGTGCTACTTTGTATTGTTATTTATCTTTATCATTTCTGTCTTGTTTTCCCAGCCAAGCTGCAAGCCCCTTGCAAATCCCAACCTTCTAACGCATAGAGAACATAGGCCCTCAGTAGGTATTCTACAAAGAGACTCAAGTTACTTTACTCAGTAAAGGAAAACTCGGAATCGTTACAGCTTTCCTCTTGCCCTATTTTTGAAGATAGAGTTGGACAATGGCCCACTAGATTTGGGGGGAGGTAATTTTTGTGTATCCCCGACTAAGCATACCGCCAAGACTTCTTACCAGCAGCTGGAACCTTATGCGCTTCATCAAAATTGTGCAGAGGAGCCGCTCTGGGTACAATGGGTGGATTCTGAAAGGTGATCCTTGCTGTTGGTGGAATCAGTCCTCGCTCTATCATACTTAAAATCCCTAAAGGGAAGGTTAGAAGAATATGAGTTTACCTTCAAGCATTTCCCCAAAGTCTGAGCTCTATACATTGCACAGCTGTAACTTACTCAATTCCTCATCTTATCTGTGACAGTGTACCTAGTGCTTAATCCTTTGCATGAAAAAATAGGCACAGTACCTGTTTATTTAAGCCTAAATTTCTAACCCAAGGGGAAAAGTGACATTTCCAATAACTGTAAATGAAACAAGCTTGTACTAAGACCACTTCATTTTAAGGTAGAAATATAATTTCAAGGCAAACTAAAACTTCTTCATACTTATGGCATTTTCAATTATTGATGTTATTCCTTTTAAAATTCAGAGAAATCAGACACACAATGTTAATACCTAAAGAGATCTTTTGTTCTAAAAGAAGGAAAGTCTGTGTGCTTGCAAGCAGACCCCTGTTGTTATGAGTCATAGTTTAGTAAAGAGTTATTTTTAGACATTTTTCATATCACCAGAAGATTCCAATGCCTAACCAGGTTATTTTAGCATAAATGGGCAACACGTTAGCATTCAGGTAACTAATTTACAATTCTTGGAATTGCTACTGTGTGGGCCTGGCTGGTGCCAAGGCTTTTTAAGGACAAGAGACATTGTTAAATAAGTAAACAAAAGAATAAACCAATGAATAAATGAATAATTGAACAAAGCCTACTGTCAGGGGCAAAACTTTAATCAAGGTGGATCTATTGTGTGGAAGCCAGAAACCCAGAGGCTCGGGAGTACTTGACAGAGACTTGTGACAGGGCTTTAGTTTCTCGTTGCTCTCACACAAGAAGTAAAGAACTCGGGGTCTCAGTGAAATCCTAGTGTACAAACTGTACCAAGCTGGGCCAAGTTGAAGAAGGTGAAGCACATTCTAAGAGGGACAAATATTGCTTCCATTTGCCTTATGACCTCTAATGACTTTATTATGTTATTATTAAGGGTGTCTGCCCTGGCTGGTGTGCCTCAGTTGGCTGAGTGTCATCCCACACACAGAGAGGTTGCCAGTGCGATTCCCAGGCAGGGCACATGCCAGGGTTGTGGCCTCGATTCCCAGTAGGGGGCATGCAGGAGGCAGCCGGTGCATGTTTCTTTCTCTCTCGCCCTCTCCCTTCCTCTCTCTCTCAAATCAATAAAAACATATTTTTTAAAAGGTGTTAAAGTCTAGTGTTACAGGAATTCAGAAAAAAGACTACTGAGGGATTGGTGGGCTAAAGGAGACTTCACTTGCAAAACAATGATTCCAAGAAAATATTCAGTTTACTTACCAAAGAATCCTCTGGGGAGAATTTCTTACTACAAATGGAGATTCCTGGGCCCCCGAATCTGAATTACTGAATATATGCTTTGCAGTTTGAGAACCACTAGAATTGAGGCCCAGTAACCTACATTTAAATAAGCACTCCAGGTCCATCTTTTGTACTCTGAAAGCTTAAGAACTGCTGGGCCCTCTTTGAAATTAATACTAATGTTTTAAAATATTTAGACTAATTCTTTGTCCTTACAAGTATTTTCCACCTATAAATACCAAATCTCACTTCCAAGAACTACGCCTGTTTTGCAGATGTGAAAAGCAGAGCTCCTTCTCATTCAGTATATTTTTATTACAAGAGTGAGTTTTATCCTCTGGAAATCCCAAAGAATATAAGCATGACTTTAACCCTTGCTTTAGTACAGGCTGAAGCAATTCACTTAATTTTAGACAAACGCACATGTGTGCATTTACTTTTGGAAAGAAAATGTTAAGACCATGGAATAAGAAAGACTAGTAGGTTGTTTTTCTATAAATGCTGGAACCTCTAGAGATTATCTGACCTTATAAACCCCTTTGGTTTTGGTTAGTCTACTTTACAGTTCCATAGAGATTGAGGTTAATTTATAGAAAACTGAAAGCAATGCAAATAATTCTTGTTTATCCACATGCCAATAAATTCTGTCACATGGAGGGACAATTCTTCCTCCAACCCCCAAAAGCCAGTTTTGCATCTATTTGCAAATTTATTTCAGAATTGTTTAAAAAATATGTTTTTATTGAGTTCAGAGAGAGGAAGGGAGAGGGAGAGATAGAAACATCAATAATGAGAATCATCACTTGACTGCCCCCGCACGCCCCCTACTGGGGATCAAGCCTGCAATCCGTGCGTGTGCCCTGACCAGGAATGAAACCATGACCTCCTGGTTCATAGGTCGATGCTCAACCACTGAGCCATGCTGGCTGGGCTATTTCAGTATTCTTGCTTTATAAATGTGTCTGTTGTTTGGATTATCCTTTGAATCAACTGTAACATTTTACAAGTTCCCTCACTTAATTAATGAGGTAAATAACAACTTTAACCTCATTTTCTGTTTGTATGAGAGTCATGGTTTTACTTTAAAATATATAAATAAAATATTCTTCAACTATTTTGGAGATAAGCAAAAGATTCACCTGAAATTGCCAGAAATGGTGCAGCCCATACAGAACCAAGCCCAGGCACATATTTTTCTTGGTTTCCACAGGTGAATTCAAAGTAGAAACAGAACTTCGTTGACTCTGTTTTTCTCAAACCCTGTGCTTTGTGTGTTGTTGTTTTTTTGTTTCATTTATGGCTGATAAGTTATTCCTGTTGTTAGCTAAAATGACTGGAAATTTGGTGATCTCTAAGTGGATTAATGTCTTATAGATATCTGCTCCTTGTTGAGTGAGAAACAATGGAGAATACAGTTTGATAGCCTTTTGTTTGTCTATTTGTGTATATTGATCTCAAATCAATTAGGAATTTCATGCCCACAAGAAAAGAGAATGACTGATATCTGGGCCATTAAGTTTTTGTGTTTGTGCTTATTTTTTATGTGTGGCTGAAATTGTAGAATGGCAGTGATAAGCTTTCTCTGTATCTATATCTCTATGTATCTAAAATTCAGAAAGGCCTTTATCTCTCACTGTGAATGCAGAATGTTTTCCCGTCTCCAAATAATATTAATAAATTGGATTGTAAACTCTCTTAAATTAAAGGAGGTCTGTTCTGATTGACTTGTAGAGAGAAATAATGCATATGTAATAAATGGAATATTCCTAAAATTCCCAGAAAATAAATTTTTAATACTTTAAATGTGCCCCCCTCCCTCACTTCACAAATTCAGACACTCTCATTGAGTCTCCTTACTTTTTTTTTTATTAATATATTTTTATTGATTTCAGAGAGAGGAAGGGAGAGATAGAAACATCAATGATGAGAGAGAATCATTGATTGGCTTCCTCCTGCACGCCCCCGACTGGGGATGGAGCCCGCAACACAGGCTTTGCCCTGACTGGGAACCGAACCGTGATCGCCCGGATCATAGGTCAATGCTCAACAGCAGAGACACGCCGACCAGGCTCTTTACTTGTTTTTCAATCCTCACCCGAGGACTTGCTTAGAGACAGAGGAAGGGAAGGAGGGAGGGAGGGAGAAACATCAATGTGAGGGAGAAACATCAGTCCATAAGTGCTCCAACCAGGGATTCAGCCCAAAATCCAGCATATGCCCAGACTGGGAAGCGAACTGGCAACCTTTCAGTGCACAGGACAATGCTCCGTCGACTGAGCCTCTCCAGCCAGGCAGACTCCTTACTTTTAATGGCAATATAGTTGTTTGTATAGTGTCAATAAGAATGTGTTCTCCTTTTACTAAGATATACTTGGGAAAATTGGAATTTAATATTTAAGAATGATGCTTTTATTTTTTAACTTTTTTAAATGTTTTTACTGATTTCAGAGAGGAAGGGAGAGGGAGAAAGAGATATAAACGTCGATGATGAGAGAGGGTCACTGATCGGCTGCCTCCTGCACGCCCCCGACTGGGGATCGAGCCCGCAACCCGGGCATGCGCCCTGATGGGGAATCAAACCCTGATCGCCTGGATCCTAGGTTGATGCTCAACCACTGAGCCACACCAGTCGGGCAAAAATGATGCTTATTAATCAGGTATAAGTCACTTTAAAGAACTAAGGTTAACTTTATGGTGCCAGTGCTTACAAAGCCCTCCCAGAAAAACTGGCCAGGTACAAAGTTTATAGGTAAGGAAGGTCACTTCCTGGCAGGCCTGGGACCCTCAGAATATTTAAAGAACCTTTGGAAGAGAGGAATTTACCCCAATTTAGAGCCCTGTAGTTGAAATCCAGTGTACAGAATTTCTTGGGCTTGATTTCTAGCCTCTGAATAGTGATTGATAGAGGTTTTTAAAAGTTCTATCTGAGGTTCCTTAGGAAGACTTCCAGCAGAGCAAATTTGAAACAGCCTGCATGGTGAGTTAACATTCTTGCTACCCCTATGTAAACAATCACGCCAAACCTAATGAGACCAACCTTAGTCTGTGAATATATATGTGTGTGTGTGTGTGTGTGTGTGTGTGTGTGTGTGTGTATATATATATATATAAAATTAGATAATTTTGATCATAATGGGAGAAGACTGTAAGAAAACTATTTTTTAAAGTTTTAGAATAAACAAAAGAGATTACTGGATGCCTTTTCAATGGAAGGCTGGAGCTGGCAGGGATTGTCTGAACCTAGTCTCTGAATATACTATTTTATAACTGTAAAGATTAAGGTTAACTTGCAAAATAAACCAAACCTGATAATAATGCAAATAATTCTATCTATAGACATAAAAATAAATTCTGCCTGGTATAGGGACACCCCTCCTTCCCATGGAAAAGCCAGTTTTGCATCCATTTGTGAATTTGTTTCAATATTCCAGATTTACAGCCCGGCCGGCTGTAGCTCAGCGGTTGAGCATCGACCTAGGATCCAGGAGATTGAGGTTCGATTCCCGGTCAGGGCACATGCCCGGGTTGCGGGCTCGATCCCCAGTGGGGGGCATGCAGGAGGCAGCTGATCAGTGACTCTCTCATCACTGATGTTTCAACTCTCTCTCTCCCTCTCCCTTCCTCTCTCTGAAATAAAGATATATTAAAAAAAAAAAAAAATTCCAGATCTACAAATGTGTGTTCTCTGGATTTTCATTTAAA